ATGTATCTGATTATTACTAGTCATAATCGGTTGCACTTGGATCCTTGGTGCCTGTGTATGTCTATAAAGTCATCAGGTGGATTTCAGTGGTAATGTTTATCACCTCTACTAATTATCATGACATTAAATTTCCATGCTTCCTCCTCAAATATAATACATTTTAAAATTTTTGTTGATTTTTTTTTTTTTTGGTGTGTGTGTGTGTGTGTATTACACAGAACATCCCAAACCATCTCATTCAACTCTACACCCACTTCCCAGATGGCACCCTCCCATAGCCTCCCTCCCCCCACTAGAGACTTATACTCTGATATCCCTGCTCTTGTCTGCTGTGTTGTTGGCACCCCCAGCCATTCCCCACTACTTGTCCATCTGGTGAATCTAGTCAGCCTATCTAGAGGTCTTTGTTTTAGGAAGGTCAGCTGTTCCTCATCTAGCAGCAATCAGTTGTCAATATTCCTTTAGATGAGATTGGGGTCTGCTGTTTATTTCCCCAGTTCTATGCGGGGTTACTATCTGGAGTCCCTTGGGCCACCCTGGCCAACAACTCAAGAAGAAGGTATCTCTTATCTGGCATTGCTGCTTGTTATGGATTCTTAAAAAATTATATTGGCCCCTTTAATCTTTGGTTAGACTTTCCTTTTGGGTGTTTAAGGCCATACAGTTGGCCCAGATAAACCAATTTATTTTTACTCTTAAGGTCGTTAAATTTTTAAGAAGAAAAAGAAATACAGCAAACCCAATGTTTTCCAAACGTAGTTACAGACTCTAACAACAGGCTTGATAAATACTCACGAGTACTTCATTGGGGTCCTTATCACTTCAAACAGCCTCGAGGGAAAACAATTCTTGTTTTGCTTGTGAAGCAGGATCTTTGTAAGGAAATGTGTGTTTGTCTCCAACAGTTCGACATAGACAAAGAGGCTGGGGAAAGACAGATTTATCACCGCTACTGCATGGAGCGGGCCTCCGTGCACTGCGCACACGTGTTCACCACCGTGTCAGAAATAACAGCCATCGAGGCGGAGCACATGCTGAAGAGGAAGCCTGGTAACTTATCCCTGGGCTTGCCGCCTGCCTTTGGGTTGCACCTGACATTGGCAACCAGGGGGTCCTAACACACAGGTCGCCCTTGCTTAACTGCTGTGGTCTTACCCATGGCTGTCTTGCTTCCAGATACCCTTTGAGTGGCTTGAGCAGGTACCACAATGTGTGAAAGAAAAGAAAAATAGCAAGCCGGAAGCAGGAACCCACGCGCTGGGACTTTGGATTCTCTGAGGTTCACCCTGATCTTTGCACACCAGGAAACTCATGTCTCTCCTCCTCCTCCTGTTTTTCTGTCTATACTGTCCTTTTCTGAACTTACACACATGCTTTGCTTTTCCTCACTCTCAAACGAAGCTCTCCCTCGAGGCCACTGTGCTGTCAAAGATTCAAACCCTTTCGCTGCAGACACGGTAAGAGGGCAAACCGTGGCTCCCAGAGGCTCTTGTACATGGCCTCCCACAGTAGCTCCAAAATGTTTTTTAAGAAACTGCAAATTCAGGCCTATTTAATTGTTAATGTTCGTTGACATGCCCTGACATTGAAAATGACAGAGCCCATTCCATGTTCTCTCCAGTGTAATAGTTTTCTGGCATCTCTAATAGAGCTCCATCTTTTGGATTTTCAGGCAAACAATGAGTGAATCAAAAGCTTACTTGGGCCAGATATTTTTATATGTATTACTACATAGAAACATACAAAATTTATTTGCTTTAAAATATTTTATTATTTTTATTTTATGTGCACGAGTGTATTGCCTGCACGTGTGTAAGTGCACCCATGTCGTGCAGTGCCCTCAGAGATCAGGAGAGGGTGTCGGACCTCCTAAAACTGGAGTTATGGATGGTGGTTCACTGCCATGTGGGTGCTGGGAACTGAACCTGGGTTCTCCGCAAGAGCAGCCAGTGCTTTACGACCGAGCCGTCTCTCTTAGCCCATTGTTTTTTTTTTTTTGTTTTTACTGTAAAAATATTTTTGACTTTTTTCAAATTTAACATTTAAAAAGTTTTTGAAAACAAAGTACATTCACTCAGTAACAATGATACATTTAAAAATTATACAGTGAAAAAAAGAAGTTTCTTAGTGTTTTCCAATTCCTGACATGTTACTCTTTGAGGTTCAGTCAATATTCCCAGGTATTCTCATAAATTTCAAAATTGTGAATATCTTAAACATATTTCTAACAGTCTTTGCACTCTGTTGTTTTAATAGCTAGAAATGCTTGTTTAAAGAATAAAATAGACTTAGTAGTGCTTACAAAAACTACAGCCTGTAAGACTAATCAAACAATGAAAAACATAATTTGAAATTCTTATTATCCCTTCAATAATAAAGTATAACAACTTATTTTGGCATTTACATTGTTTTAGACATTATCAATAATCTAGGAATGCTTTAAAGTACACAGAGAATGATGCACATAGATTGCATGCCATTTGACAACATTTTATATGAAGGACTTAAGCATCCAGGGATTTTGGCACCTGACCAATTCCCTATGAGCATATGTCAAGGATAACTGTGCAGCCAATGTTCAAATGCTTAGCAAGAACTCATAAATACTAGATTTAAAGACCTAAAACATATCAAGAAGCCTGGGTCGACTTTGTGGAACTATTTCAAGAAATCAGCCTTTTAAAAATGTTTTTCGTAAATCTTTATTGATAGTTGCAGTTTTGGTAGACAGTAAGAGCTACCGAGAACAGGTTTACAACCATAAAATGGTCTTCAAAATCTTGTAACAAACTCGGGAATCTAGTTCAAATCCCTGTTGCAAAAATCTTCATTGTGATGAGAAACAGAACCCTCACTTCACAGTAAGAATTCAAGAGATCAAGTGGGGAAGCAAGGCAGTTTTAATTTCTCAGAACCAGGCACTAGCCCAAACAGGCAAAAATGGCTGACAGGCTAATTTGGCCAAAACAACTGTTTTTATTGTCTTGATTGCAATTCCCTGACCCCTCTATTCCCCACTAACTGGGTACTTCTGGGAGGTACAATCCTCCCAGTGTCTAGTACAGCCTCCTCCCCAAATCCCCACTCTATTGGTTCAGTTTACACTTCATCCTACCCTCTGAGGATGCAGATCCTTATCTAATGTATGTCCTGGGGCTTGAAATCACCTCTGCCTCCCTGATACATGGGCTCAGTCACTTAGACTGTAGTTTTTCAACTCTTAGATAAAGTAAAGGTGCTTAGGTAAGTATGCACCAGGTGCTGGGGAAGACAGGGGCCCAGTGCCTCCTGCTTAATTTGTGATCTGGTAAATGAGTCTTCTAAAGGACCTCTGGTATTGGTATTGGAAATAGGCTGTTCACATATTATTTCTTACAATTGCCATCTGCTGAATTTTTTGACATAACTTCGTCTTACTTTTCTTTCTACTGCCTATGGATGTGAGGACCCATACCATCAGTTCAGAGGAGACCTTCTGTCTCAGAATTTTAATAATCTCTTTCTTCTTGTAGAGGAACATGATGCAAAACCAAAACATCTCTCTATGCAACAAATCTTCTGAGCAGAGTCAATCCATTGTACTGGAATGAAAAAAAAAAAAACCCCACTATTAACAAGTTAGAAATAATAAGAAATAGACCTTTTATCATTTCAGCCTGTTATCATTCATTTTGATCAGGTGTTCCTGATTTCTTATTTTAACCATAATAGCAACTATGAAGTTAATGCGTTTTAAAGTCTGTGGAAGTTCAGAATAGAAATATCAATAGACATCAAATTTTACAGATTTAAGAATTCTTTTTTTGTAAAGGGGCACCCCTTCTCAGGAAGATGTTCCATGATTTTGTTTTGTGTTTTTCAGATGTGGTGACTCCAAATGGCTTGAATGTTAAGAAGTTTTCAGCAGTGCATGAATTTCAAAATCTCCATGCCATGTACAAAGCCAGGATCCAGGATTTTGTTCGAGGTCATTTCTATGGGTATGTTTTGTTTTGTTTTGTTTTTTAATAAAACAAAATGGGTTGGAGAAATGGCTCAACAGTTAGGAGCACTTGCTGCTCTTTCAGAGGACCTGGATTCAGTTCCCAGCACCCACATGGTGGCTAACAACCATCTATAACTCCAGTTCCAGGGAATCCAACTTTGGCCTCCACAGGCATTGCATAACACATCCTCCAATACATGGAGGCAATACACTCATACACGAAAAATACTTTTTTGAAAAGAGTTACAGTAGCCAGATGTGGTAGCACACAGCACTTGGGAGGCAGAGGCAGGTAGATCTCTGTGAGTTTGAGGCCAGCCTGGTCTACATAGCGAGTTCCAGGCCAGCTGGAGCTACAGGGAGACCCTGTCCTTTCCCAGTCCCCTTTGGTATTTGAATTCCTATTGTGCATTTTGTTACTGTTGCTCTGTCTCATTACAATTGCTTTGTTTTGTTTCAGTCATCTGGACTTTGATCTTGAAAAGACTTTATTCCTTTTCATTGCTGGGAGGTATGAGTTTTCAAATAAAGGAGCAGACATCTTCCTGGAATCCTTATCCAGGCTTAATTTCCTCCTGAGGGTAAGAAACACTGAGGGGCCCAAGGCTCTTGCAAGGAGGCCTTTCTGCTGTGGGACATGAAAAGCTTAGCTTTTAAGAGGACATTTGATTTCAAAGTATTAAAATGATAAACTCAGGCCAGCGAGATGGCTCAGCATGTAAAGTGGCTTGTAGCCAAGCCTGCCAATTTGAGTTTGATTCCTGGTAGAAGGAGAGAACAGATCACTGCTGTCCTCTACACACATGATGTGGTAGGTTTACATAGACACACACACATGTACACACACACACACACATGTAATAAAAAAACGTTTTAAATGATAACATCATTTTAAAATGACTCTGTCTACTCAGTTTACATATGGGAGTCATATGTCTTTCATTTATGCCTATATTTTTAAGTACATTTCTTAAAAAGAATCTCACATTATATGTGCTGTGTTTTAAGAAGTCATCATAACAGTCCTCTTCCCTTATAGGAATTTGTAATCAATTGAAAGATAGATATGGAAGTGTCAAGGAAGAGCAATATATTCCTTTTTAAAACCAGATGTAGCTTGTGCATGTGGTATTATAGCTAGTCATCCAATCACAGGCAGCTCTGACCTGGGCCACCCTTCCCATGTGAAGCAGTCATCAGAGGACTATGTGCCACAGGCTGCCGGCGCACTAGCTCCCTATAGAACAGGAAGACCCTGCGAACTCAGTCCCCCACAGCTCACCAGCCATGCCTCCTCTCCAACTGTCCATCTCTGAAGCGTCCCACTGCATGGACACATGAAGAAGAAGGTTCTTTCTCTCAACAGGAGGAAATCATTTTTGCTCAGAGAGTGGCCCTAGTGATTGATTTATAGCCCAATCCTAGCACATGAAAATATAGAACAAGAGTTGTTCTGGTTTCTTTCTATTGCTGTGATAATAACACTGACTAAAACCAACTTGGGGAGGAACGGGTTTATTTGGCTTACAGCACAGTCCACCATCAAGGGAAGCCAAGGCAGGAACTTGGAGCAGGAACCTGGAGCACAGACCATGGAGGAACACTGCTTGCTGGCTTGATCCTCCAGCCTGTGCTCAGCCTGCTTTCTTATACAACACAGGCCCACCTGCCCAGGGGTGGCACCATCCATAGAGGCCTGGGCCCTCCAACATCACTCAACAACTAGAAAATGCCCCCACAGACATGGCCGCAGGCCAGTCCAATAGAGGAAATTCCTCTATTGAGGGTTCTTCTTCCCAGGTTGTCAAGTTGAAAACTGACACCATCCAGCACAATGTACCACTGCCTTCTGGGAGATGTAGGCTGAGGGAATTTGTGGAAGAAGGACAAGAAAACATAGGTGTTAGATTTTTAAAGCACCAGTTTAGAGCTCGACTTTGTTCCTAACAGGTTGTGGGAGCTCAGAGAAAATATCACACTCTTCATGTCTTTTTCACATCAATAAAATAAAAAGGATAATCTGTGCATGATGGTATAGGGCTGTGTACAACTGTGTATTTAAAGTAACCCAGCCCAGTATCCACTGCTTCAAAATTGCTAAGGACATGGTAGGGCCTTTACTTTAAGCCTAAAACCCAAAATGTAACATATTGACCATCTAGATGTTTAATAGAAAAAGTGTAAAAACCTGTTTGTACAAGTTAATATGAGTAAAATTTAAAAATTAGAAGAAAATAAACGAATTAAAGAAATAAACCCTCATTAAATTTCCAATCTGAAATTTTAAAGAATGAATTTAAGCTGTTTAATATCAGCTCCCAGGTATTTTTGTAACCACAGGAAAGCACAGCAGCATGCCCTACTTTAAATGATCAATGCCTGGGGCTGAAAAGATGGCTCAGTGCTTAAAAGCCCTAGCTGTTCTCCCAGAGGACCTGGGTTCAGTTTCCAACTCCCATATGGTGGCTAGTAAACTGTCTGTAACTCCAGATCCAACACCTGCTTCTGACCTCTGCAGGCCTTGCATACAGGTGGTATATGTACATTCATGAAGGCAAAAAATTCATTAAAAAATAATAAAATGATCAATGCCATGGAAATATTTCATTGCTAAGTTTTCAAACTGCCAATTAACAAACCCTGGTTCCAAGTCAGGTTTAAATTAAAACTGAAGAAGCATAGAGAATAAAAATCTGCAGAGTGTGGGTCCTTGGACAGGACTCCTATACTAAACTTCACCAACCCAGGGCTCAGGGACCATTGCAGGAGAGGGGGTGGAAAGACGGTAAGAACCACAAGAGAGGACGTGCATAACCACATGGATACAGAGTCTTACGCGCTCCTAGGACCTTGTGCATATGAACTTACAGCAATGGTGACATCATGCACAAGATTCATGCAAACACAAGCAGACACAAACCCAGCATAGAACTGGGGAAATGGGCAGCAGGCCCCAATCTTAGCCCAAGCTCTATTGGGCAGCTGATTACTGTTGGCTGAGAAAGAGTTGATCTTTTTTAAGGGAGGGACTCTAGATAGGCTAACTAGACCCCAGCGGATGAACATGCACTGAAGGATGTCGGAGGACACTAACTTGACAGGCCTTAACGTAAATGACAGAATGCATGAAATTCAGCAGGGAGGGCTATGGGTAGGTGCCGACCGGGACAGGGGTATAAAGATGATTAAAATGTTCCATCTGAGACACACAACAATTCAACTAAAAAGTTCAATAAATAAAACTGAGAATATCCTGGGATATGGAAGCACTGTCCTGTGGCTCATAACTAAGCTTCTCTCATGACACATGAGAACACTGTTTTCCAAGTTTAAGGTCCACCCGCCGCGTGTTTCCTCCCCTTCGCTAGTTGACTCTGCTGTGTTTTCTTACCCCTCCTCAGATGCACAAGAGTAACGTCACTGTGGTAGTGTTTTTCATCATGCCTGCCAAGACAAACAATTTCAACGTGGAGACCCTGAAAGGCCAGGCAGTGCGGAAGCAGCTGTGGTAAGCTCACGCCCTGCCAACCTTCTCGGCAACAGGGGAAGGGAGTTTTGCTCAGTGCATGGGCCCGGAGGTTCGTCCTTGAGCTCTGCTGCTTCCATTTAATGTGATTACGGCACAGACGCTGCTGCCAATTTCTCTTCGTGTGTTCTCTGTTAGATTGTGTAATGCCTGTAACATGATGGGTGCTACTGGGAAAACTAACAAGTAAGCATAGATGGAGCAAAGACCTGTAGAAGTTTTTAAAAACAGGTTGAGGAGGCTAGAGAGATGGCCCGACTGTTAAGAGCATCAGCTGTTCTTGCAGAGGACCCTGGTTCAAATCCCAGCACCCACATGGATGTTAGCAACCATTTGTAACTCCAGTTCCAGGGGATTTGACGCCCTCTTTTGACCTCCTCGGGTTGCATGACACAGGTGCACTTACATGCAGGCAATAGATACATATACACCAAATAAAAATAATAAATAAAAATATTAAAAATAAACATGGGTTGAATATGCTTTACTCACAAAAATTAAAGACTATATCAAAGCAAATAAATGAATATAATGATTCCCTCCACACTAAGTCCAGATCCAAAATTTTTTTTTGAGTCAAGGTCTCACTATGTACCCAGGCTGGCTTGGAACTCACTATGTAGACCAGAATGGCCTCAAACTCACTGACACATGCCTCTGCCTCCCTGGTACTGGAAAGATCCAACAATTATCAACCAGTTCCCAAACTTGTTCCATCTATAACTCTGTTTACTAACCCCTCCTACTCTCCATTGTCCCCCAGTTACCTCCAGCAAAAATAGTTTCAGCTTTCTGAGGTGGCTTGAGTGTTCTGTGGCCTAAGTTAGTCTTGGAGTTTCTTTACCCAACCTAAATTGGCCAGTAGGAAAATAATAGAAGAGGTTATATAAACAAGGCTGGTAATTTCAAGGGATACTAATGAAACTACAGCATTGTCATGCCAGATGAAGAGGAAAGTTTCCATTCTATAACAATTAGAAATCTTCCTATGTCAAACAGGGACACTGTACATTCTATGAAGGAAAAGTTTGGAAAGAAACTCTACGATGCGTTACTAAGGTGAGTACTGGGCATAACCAGCATAGCAAGGGTTAACTATTCACACTTAACAATTTAGACACAATTGCAAATTTTGTTCCAAATCTAAAGGAATTCATATCCTTTGAAGATGTGCTGTGTCTTATGAGCAGTATTTTGTCTTTCATTTGACGAATACCAGTGAACTGCTTATACATATGAGACCATTTTTGTATATGCACGTAAGTTCTTATTCAGTGGAAACGCATTAGTGCATCACTCTAAAATTGAGGAAGCCTTTGAGTTCCAATATATGTATTAACTAATACATATTAACTACATAACTAATCAAATCTGTGTTAATATAAATATGTTGTAAAAACATTATTAAAGTAAATGAACTATATATGTTTGCCACAGTACTTAATTAGTGACAGTGGTTTTACTTTTTATCCATACTGCTTTCATCACAGAGGAGAAATTCCTGACATGAATAATATTTTGGATCGGGATGACCTAACAATTATGAAAAGAGCCATTTTTTCGACTCAGGTAAGGAAAGAAAAAAGTGTCCACCATTCCCTGTGATTATTAAAATCTACCTAAGTTAACATCAAACTAAGTCAACATTTTAATTTATCAGAATGAGGTAAAGTGGGAAATTTTTAGATCTGAGTACTGAAAAAAATATTCCTAATGTTTTTATTTATTTGGGAGTGGGGGTGTGTGGAGGTCAGAGGACTTACAGGAGTTGGTTCTCACTCTGTGGGTCCCAGAGATGGAACTATGGGCATCAGGCTGGTGGCAAGCATCTTTCCCTTTGAGCCATCTCACCTACCCAGAAAAATATTCCTACATGATCATGAGAATGACTTTTATATTCTTCTGTGAATGGTTTTAAGGGCTTCTTTTTTAAATCTCTTGAACTCTTTATTTCCAGTTACGGAATTGATTTTGAACTAATATATTCAGTTGAAAAACTGTCTACATTGTAATAATAAGAGCCTTCTAGAGTTTTCCAAAGGCATAGAATTTGCATCACAGTAGAGAAAATGTGAATATTCCTCAGGTGAATGAAATTATTATTTAAAATTCTTGTCCTAACAGTGATGTCTGCAAAAAATTCCAGTAAAATTCATCTTGTCTTAAGATTCCAAAATGTCTCAGATAAATCCAGAGGCAGTCATGAAGTCTAACACTTTTATACAGTGACTGCAAATAAGGAATAGTTCTGTTCACAGTCTGTGAAGAAAGTTCTGGAATCCTTTATCTTCCCTTGATGACTAACAAAACTTAGTCATCATAATCGGTGTCATCTCAGAGAACTAAATATATACAGAGACAGAACATGTCAACGGCCTCTTGTGGAAATTAGTCACACTTTCTAATTCGTTCTCTCACTGACATTTCCTTCCCTCTGTTTCCGCAGAGACATTCTTTGCCTCCTGTGACCACTCACAACATGATTGATGACTCCACAGACCCCATTCTCAGCACCATTAGACGCATCGGACTTTTCAACAACCGTGCAGACAGAGTCAAGGTAGAACTAACTGGTTTCACGTGGGCATTTTAAACTCATATAGAATAGAGTACCCTCAGAGGCTAAAGTGCTTGCTGTGCAAGCCTGAGTTCCATCTCCAGCACCCATATAAGAGCTGGGCATGGTGGTTCATGCTTGTAATCCCATGCAGGGTGGGGGTGGGGGGAAGACAGAGGCCTCCCTGGAGCTTGCTGGCCATCCATCCTAACTTAATGGGTGAGGACCAAGCCAATGAGAGACCCCGTTTCTAAAAACAACATGATTGACTCTTAAGGTTCAACATCAGAGGTTGAGTGCTGGCTTCCACACATACATGCACATAGTCTACATTCACATCCACACATGTGTGTACCCGCATGAATACACATACCCCCACATACACACATATACACAAAATTATATGGACTATATTTGGGAATTTATTGTAAGTTCCTCTTAGTTGTTTGAACATTTTCCAAAAAATTAAATCCTTCTAAAGAATGTTAATGCTATATCTTCTTTCAGGTAATTAGAATATGGTGGGTATTTTGTTATCAATTTTGAGGACTGAAACATGCTCATGAATCACACTCTGAGATATAACTCTAACATTTGTTTTCATTGTGCAATATTACCAATAAACACCAGGAAATTGCCTAATTTTAACCAATAAAAATATAGTCGAAAGCTTTAGTGAAGGAATCTGATATGAATTATGTTTTTTTGCATTTCAATTATATTTATTCATTTATTTGTGTGTGTGTGTGTGTGTGTGTGTGTGTGTGTGTGATATGTGTGCCATGGCATGCATGTGGAAGTCAGAGGACAACTTGCAGGGGTTGGTTTTCTTCTTCCATTATGTGGGTCTCGGGGATCAAACTCAGGTAGGTCGTTTGGCTCAGCGGCAAGCACCTTTGCCCTCTGAACTATCTCAACGGCCTTGAAAATGCTTTATTACAACAAATTCTTTTCATGTGGAGTGACCGTTAAACTTTTTTTCTTCACTCCTCCTTTTTCGTAAAACTTCTCAGAAATAAACCCAGTCTATTCTTAAATTCATTTCTTATCTCCCATTCTCTACTGGACATTACACACAAGTGGATTCAGTGGGGAGAGGCAAATTCAAGGGTTCAAATAGGGATCCCAGTTCATAGTGACAGAGTTCCTCAAGGCAAAGTTGCCTATTTCTCCCACTGGACAGAAATTACTTGCTGCTAGTATTCGTGACCGCCTATCTGTAAGCAGGTGCAGCTGCTGTAATAGACCCAAGGGAAGTGGATGGCTGAGTCTGTCGGGCAGTCTCCCTGAGGACAGTGTCTCTTGCACAAAATCTGAACTGTATTTCCACGGTCACCATGTGAACAAAGAAAGGTCAATCCTTAAAAACAGTCATACCCCCGTCTGGTTTTAAATCCCTTCCACTTATCCAGTTTTAAGTTTTATATGTGTGGGGCCCCATCTTCTTATCTGTAAAATGGAGACAAAATAGCTGACCCAACTTAGAGACTTGGAAGTAAAACAATTAAATATGAATGGGGGGAGACTGGAGAGATGCTCAGCAGTTAAGAGCACCGGCTGCTCTTGTAGAGGACTTGGGTTTGGTTCCCAGCATCCACATGGCAGCTGATAGCCATCTGTGATTCCAGTTCTAGGGGATATGATACCCTCTTCTGACCTCTTTGGGCATTGTATGGACAGGTGCACTTATATACATGCAGTCAAAACATACACATGTAAAATTAAAAGATAAGAATTTTAATTTAATTTTTAATTGAGCTTCTGTAATTTCATACAACAGTTCTTAATCAAATTTAGACTCCCTCCCCCATCCATACCTACCCCATCCTTCTATCAGACCTCATGTATGGGCAGTGGGCAGCACCAGTCTGGGAACTATTGGAGACTGATTGCTGCTGGGTGAGGGAGAGTATGACTTACATACTGGATGGCCTGACCAGACTCAGGTGGGCAAATTTACACTGAAGGACATCTGGGAACAAAGATAAGAAATTTTTTAAATATATGAATAAGGGATACATGTAACACTGGGCCTGGCCCATTGTAAATTTATAGTAAATGTTAGCTTTTATTAGGACCTCCATCAGTGAGTGGTTTTTTGGGAAAATGACAGAAGGACAGACTGGCCAGGCAGAGACAAAGCAGATAAAAAGGCAGGACACAGGACAGCGCGCGGCTGAAGTAAGTCAGTGGAGATAGATGTGCGTTAGACTCACAGTAATCACTCCACGTGGTTAAACTCATGAATGTTTTGAGGTATACAGCTGTCATTAACATACTGTAAGCACATACACAAATCAAAGCACAGCACCTTCTGGCATTTAGTATGCGTACATTAAGAGAAACTCTGTCCATTCAGAATTAGGTATTTTACTGAATTGGCAGAATTCTTTAAACGTTTGAGGACGATGTAAGCTTTTGCTAATACAGATTCCTATTTCATAACTTAAGTAAACATTTTCCCCTGGGTTGGAAGTGCTAAAAGTGATACAACGTGGACCAAATCCCTCTTTTTTTGGTGTTTGCCAAGAGGGTGCAGTGTTGCCGGTCAGATGACAGAAGGTGTTATCTGTCGTCTTCCTAGAGCAGGGCTTTGCACACAGTAGGCGTTCAGGCCGTGCTTTATCCACTTACTTTCCATGTTGTATTTCTCCTAATTGAATTAACCTTGGATTCTGGTTTTGGACATTGTACACTTTGATTTTCTCTTTAATTTACTCCTGGGATCTTTGAGATACAATGAAAGGCAGTAACAGCCTTTTGGATCAATGAGTTAACATTTAAGCCAGTCACAGCGGCCCACACCTGCAATACCTGCATGTGAGTAGAGGGGAAGGAGGCAGGAGGATTGTTTGTTACAAGTCTGAGATCAGCTTGGTCTAGGCAGAGTTGCAAGCTAGCCAAGGCTACACAGCAAGACCTTGTCTACAAACAAACAAACAAAAGTAAAGATTTTTCCATTAAAATGAAGACTGTAGATTATTTTTTACTTTAATTCTTGGCATATGATGAGATTATAAAATTATAAGGAAAACTAAAAATTAATAGCCTAGAGACCCTTGTTAAATCTCAGTTTCTATACTTCTAAAATTAAGATGAGGCGAGCATCCCTTTTATTTACCTAGAATGAATACTGCTAGGATTAAACAAGGTGTTACATGTGAACACTCTTTATACCAAGCGATACACAAATGCTAGGATTATTGGCACATTTGAAAACTAGAGATTTTTTTTCAAGTCATCCCTTTAATTTTTTTTTTTTTGGTCTTTTTGAGACAAGGTCTCCCTGTAGCCTCAGCTGTCCTGGAACTCACTATGTAGACCAGGCTGGCCTTCGACTCACAGAGATCTGCCTTCCTCTGCCTCCCAAGTGCTGGGATTAAAGGCGTGTGCCACCACTCCCAGCTAAGAATAGGTACTTATTCTGTGAGTTAAAAATGAGAAGAGTGGCTTGCTTGGTCTTTGTTCTCTGTCTTTTTCTGCTTCATTTTCCTTCTAGAATACTTCTAAAGCTCTTGGGTGGGGCATGTAGGTTACCCTTGTCCATTACCCATGCTCTTTTTGTTTGTGTTTGTGACAGAGCCTTGCTTTGTAGCCTTGACAAATCTGGAACTCACTATGCCTCATGTAGAGTAGGCTGGCCTCGAACTTGCCCTGCCTCTGCCCCTGTCTCTGGCATTCTGACATTATAGCCTGAGCCACCATGCATGGCTAAGCTGTGTGCTCTTAATCCACTGGTGTCTGCTGTGTCTGCGTGATGCCGATTGCCCATGAGGCTGTGCATCTGCTCTGACAGGTCCAAATGCAGTGGTATATTGGTAGCTTGAAGCTGGCCATGATGGGAACATTTACAGGCAAACAACGGGCTGGAGAGATGGTTCAGAGGTTAAGAGTACCGGTCGCTCTTACAGAAGAACCGGGTCCAGTTCCCAGCACCCATGTGGCAACTAACAATCATTCAGAACTCCAACTCCAGGGGATTTGACACCCCCGTCTGGCCTCTGAATGACACAGGTACACTTACACGCAGGCAAAGCACTCATACACATAAAATAAAAATAAATAATTTTTTAAAAATTAAAAACAGAAAATAGACAAACACTACAAATGATAGTTTCATTTACAGTGTATTGATTTCTGGTTTAAGAAAATGGTAGAAAATTATAAATAATAGAGATTAGATTTCAAAGTGTTTTACTGTAGCCATTATGTTGTGTCATACAGTTTTGTCCATTGTTTAAACATGAGTACCCAAGCTGAGCAAGGTGGGGAATGATTGTAACTCAGCACTTGGGGGTGTGAGTCAGGAGGAATACAAGTTCCAGGCCAGCGTGGGCTGCACAGTGAAACCCTGCCTCAAATAGAATGATGACTCTAAATAGCCAACTCAGCAAAGTCACTTGCAACACTGGTAAGCCAGTGAAGTTTGGACAAACCCCTCTGTTATCTCCTTTTTCCTCATTAGCTAAATAAATCAACCAAGGTTTACGTCAGAGCGATTCTCAGCCACCAACTGAGACAAGATGGTTATGAATATGAATTTTTTGGCAAAAAGCAACAAAACTACTTTGTGAGAATACACTTTCAGTAAGGAATTTTGAATGCATGTTTTATTCGTTTATTTATTTTATTTTCATATGCATTTGTATTGTGCATGCATGTGCGGGTTCATGCGCATGTGTGTGCACCTGCATGTGGAGGCCCAAAGTTGACATCGAGTGTCTTCCTCAGTGACACTCTACTTTATTTACGTGGCCTTATGCTGAACCCAGAGTTGACAATTCTTGCTAATCTAGATAGCCTGCTAGTCTGGGGAATCCCGTCCCTCCCTCTGAGTACTGAGATTACAGGTGGCCGCCCCCCCAGTCTGGTCTTTATGTGAGTTCTAGGGATCTAAACTCCATTTCTCACACATTTGTGCAGCAAGCTCTTTCTCCATCCCACCATCTCCCCAAACCTGTGTGTACATTTTAATAGACTTTAGAGCAGTCTTTGGTTTCCCTTTGCCCCATATCCCACACATGCACCACCTCCTCTCTATCAACATCCTCAGAGAGTAGCCCATTTACTCCAGATGATGAACCTAAATCTGTACATTGTTATCATCCCAGAGCCAGAGCTCATACTGGGTGAACCTTGACATGACACATTGAGTTTAGACAACTGAATAATGACGTAAAGTCATCTTTGTAATATGACATGGGATAGCTTCACTGCCCTAAACACCCTGTATCCTCTGCCTACAAGGCTCTGTCTTCCAACCAAATTTTGGCAAGCACTGAAAGTTCTCTTTTCTAGACTACATATAATCAGCGTGATGCATTCGGAAGTCCTTTCTGATTGGCCTCTTCCTATGCACTTAGATCTCGCCTTTTCTTTTAGGGGCTTGCTAGCTTATTTTTCTGGCATGCTGAGTAACAGTCCATTGTGAGAGTGTACTTCAAATTATTTGTTCATCTTAGGACATTTGGTAGCTTCTAAATTCTTACAATTTTATGTAAACTTATATGAACAACTGTGTGCATATTTTGATATATACATTATTATTTGGAAATTGTATGCTATACAACACATGTTTAAATTTTATGATAAGGGCTAGAGAGATGGTTCAGTGGTTAAGAGCACTGGCTGCTCTTGCAGAGGCCTCAGGTTCAATTCCCAGCACCCATGTGGTAGCTAACAACTGTCTGTAACTCCAGTTCCAGGGGAATCTAACTCTCTCTTTTGACCTCCACGTGCATTGCACAACATAGGCACACTTAAATACATGCAAGCAATGCACTCATACACATAAAATATAAATAATAAATAAAATATTTATGATATATTGTGTATAAGTAGATGCTTACAGTTTGGTTTTCAGCTCTTGAACATAAGCACACCACTGCACATAGGTAGGCCATGATAAATGTGTACGATTTTCCTTTGAGTGAAATGGGATTTTGAGCAGGGAGTGACTGACATCTTTAAGGGACACATCAGCTATTGTGTTGAATAGAGACCCTTGTGGACTAGAAGCAAGAAAGTGTGGCAGGAGGCGGTTGCCTCTAAGTGAGGGAAGATGCTGTCTTTAGTGAGGCCTCCAGTATGATCCAGTCTGGACGGGATTGCTTGAACACCTACTTGCTCTTCAGATCCATTTCACTTGAATAACTCAAACACGGGATCATGGCAGAGCGGTTCATGCCCCTCTCCTGCTCAAGTTGGGGACAAATTGATAAATATAAGTCAGGGGTGAGCAGTTGAAGTACCAAATGCAACTTATATTGAGGAACAAGGTTAGTGGAGGATGCAGGATGTGGTTTAGGGTAGGAGCAGAAAATTGGCAGGCTAATTTCCTACCCTGCAACCCAAGCTTTGAACCCAAGGGAAATGGGAAATGTGCAGAAAAGATCCTTTTTGTGACGGAATGCAGGGAGGAAGAAAGAGAAAGCTAAGCAAGCTCTTTCCTTTCTTTGCTTCTTTTCCTCCCTCTACCCTTGACCATGCCTCACAAGAACTCTGCAGAACTGTGATAAGCCCTGTGCAGGGTTTTTGCTTTGTTTTCTCCATTAGAACTTTCTCTTTTAGGTGATTTTGCATCCGGAGTTTCTATCCTCCACCAGCCCCCTCTTACCCATGGACTATGAAGAGTTTGTCCGAGGTTGTCATCTTGGGGTGTTTCCATCTTACTATGAACCCTGGGGTTACACTCCAGGTATGTGACATGTGTGGATGGTGGAGCAATTCCGATTTCATTGCTTATGACTTTATGTGTGTACGGAATGTTAAAGTTGAAACGTAACTTCTACTAAGGCTTTAGTTTTTTTCAGTTTGTTTCAAAAATGGTTTTGATTGGACCCATTTCAGGGGTCAATTTGATGCTTTGAAGTTCCAGACTTAGGAATAAGGACAAAAATTAAGTAGGTATGTAACAGCATGGTTTGCTATATTTTAAGCAGGTGTCCAAGTTATTGCCTCATTGTGTTCCAAAGAGAAAAAAGATTATTTTAAGGGTTGTATATGCTTTAGTTATCTCAACTCATCCCATTAATGTGAAGGAGAAGCTGAATGCAAGCAAAATTAGAATGAAAGATGATGATCTACCAATGTAGTTCTCTAAAATCTACTTCAGAAGAATCCTTTCCAAAAAGAATTAATGGACTTGTTTCATTTGTAATAGGTAGCACAATCATGTAGTTAAAGAAACAAATAATAAAAGAAAAGTTTGTGCTACGGGTTGGAGAGACGGCTCAGTGGTTAAGGGCACTGGCTGCTCTTGCAGAGGACCTGAGTTCAGTTCCCAGCACCCACTTGGCAACTAACAACCATTCATAAGTCCAGTTCTAGGGGATCTGATCCCTCTTCTGGCCTCAGTGAGCATTGCATACACACGGTGCACTTACATATATGCAGGCAAAACACTCATACATATAAGATAATTTTTAAAAATATAACTCACTTTTTTTATTTATTGGGTTTTTTTGTGTATCTCATACAGAACATCCCAAACAATTGTATTCATCTTTATACCCACATCCCAAATGGCACCCTCCCATAGGCCACCCCCCCCCACTGGAGCCCATATACTCTGTCATCCCTGCTACTGTCCACTGTGTTATCAGTGCCCCCAGCTGTTCCCCAGTGCATGTCCATCTGCTGAGTCTAGTCAGCCTACCTAGGGTCTCTTGTTTTAGGAAGATCAGCCCTTCCACATCCAGCAGCAATCAGTTCCCGACATTCCTTTAGATAAGATTGGGGTCTGCTGATCATTTTCCCAGTTCTATGCTGGGTTACTGTCTGGGAGTCTCTTTTAATGGGAGGGAGGAGGGAGGGTTATACAAGGAAGCTTGGGGATAAAGGGAAAGAAGGCACTCAAGGGAGGAGAGACCATAGGAGAAGGGTATTATTAAGGGAGAAATGGGAAAAATGGGGGAAACCATGGTGGAAGGGTTAGACACTGAGAGACATAAATAATGCCTAGCTAGTTTTTTTTTAAAAAAAAAAAACAGAGGGAACCATATTAATACAACAACCTACTGACAAATAATACACACAACTAGAACAAGGAACAAAATATATGTCTAGTCAAAGTTTATCTGAAAATGTTTGGGTTTTGCCCAAGCTTTTTCTATGTAGCACATGGCAATTAAAAGTACCAGACTGGTACAACTAACCTCCTTGCATGTTTAACAGCCATACTTTGAGGCCTATACTAGTCTGGTCAGAGGGACATAAAGGACAGTTTTGCCCCTTGCTCCCCAAGGTTGACTAAGTTCCAGGGGACTATGGAGCATCTCTCAAAATGTCCTGTAACTGTGGTGAGTCACCTGTCCTTTTGTTCAGGGAGGCCATGGAGACCCCACCAGATGGACTTGAACCAGTGTACAGTCTATCTAAGATAACATTTTTTAAAGTGTAAAGATATTTTTTAAGTTTGTACTGAAGAACACTCTACATCCTTGTCTCTCAAAAAACAGGTGTTATATCAGAGCCTGGTGTTTCAGTGGTAGATAGGCATTGCTACCAAATGACACCATACACTGAGAAGCCCTTCCACCTTTGTGTTTGTTTTTAAATAGAGAATTCTCAGATCTGCTATTTGCTATTTTATTTTTCAGTCCTTAAGTAGTATGGTTACCATTAGCAACAAGAATGATGGATTTGTGTCTGACATGTCTGAAATCCCCAAAGAGAAGCACAGACTAGAGGTGTAGCTCAGAGGTGGGACATGTTCTGGGAATGTGCAAGATCCTAGTTGCAACCCCAGTACTACTAAGTAATGCACAAGAAGAAAATACTTTGAATGCATTCCAGCTTTGAACACAGTCATGACTTTCTTGCATCTTATTGGTGATAAGGACATGCTTCCTGATGTAGGTAAAATTCCATTTATTATTTTAAAACAAAATGTTCAGGACATTTTTATTTGTAATTCAGGGGATAAATTTTGCCTTCTGCATCTTGGTGTTGTCATTAATTTACAGCTCAAGTAAGAGGCAGTAGAGGTTGGGGAAAGGGAGAACAGTAGGTTAGATTATGAAAGAGAAGAACCTTCCTAATATCTGTATTCTTATCCCAGCACTGAAGTATAGAACCTAAAATTCTATAAGGAGAAGATACTATAATCCTTATAATGCAAGCAGTTCAAGGGCCCTGCATCTAATGGTAAAGTCCTATTCTGCTGTTCGGGGTTTGTTCTACCAAGGGTAATTTGTCAGCAGCAAAAAGATCTTAAACATTTGATAGCAAAAAAATTATTTCTTGAAACACAACGTAAAGATTTATTTATCTAGCTCCTCTATCTCCCTTGTAATACTAAAAACTGCTGTTGGTATCAGTTCTGCTTCTAAAAGTGTTGTTTCTTCTTGTGAAATGTCCACAGAAATATTTAAGTTGTATATTTAATAAAGCATTTAACAAATCACACATTTCACTGATGAACTGAACACTGTTATTCACCCCTGTTCCTATGAGTTCTAGTGCAAAGCTTAGGTTTCTTGTAGGAAGAAGTATTGTGGACAGAGGCAGAAACAAACTCAGGAATAAGTGAGGGAGCTGGGAAGATAGTCACAAACCTATCAGCTTCCTTTCCACCAAATCTCATTTTACAGGACCCCAAATCATAGCAAGACAGAACTAATGTTCTAAGACAAAGGCCAAAGAAGATGTTAGCGGGGATATCGATAGGGGTAGGAAGTTGTGTGACACTTTGATCAATGAGTCTCTCTGTGTTTTACATTAACCAAAGGAAATGTGTTAGTGACCTTTCTGTTACTGTGATAAAATACTCTGACAAAAACAGCTTAAGGGAGGAAGAGTTCATTCTTGGAAAGAGTTCATTCTTGGCTCACAGTTTCAGAGGGGTAGAGTCTGCCACAATGGGGAGACATGGCAGAAGACCAGGAAGTGTCAGGAAGGGACAGGAAATGACAAGAGCAGGAAGGTGACCAGTACCATGGCATCCGCACTGAGGAAGCAGGACAATAATAGGAAGTGGGTCAGACTATTAAACCTCAAAGCCAGCTCCCATAGATGCACTTCCTCCAGCAAGGCTCTACCTCCTGAAGGTTCCACAACCCTTCCAAACAGTGCCACCATCTGGGGACCAAGTGTTCAACCACATGAGCCTGTGGAAGATGTTTCATATTCAAACCACAAAAGGGACTTAGTGATCCTCTAAACTCATACCTGAAGCAAAAAACAAATCCTCTGGTGCTATAAATTTAACATTCTCATATTATACAACTTTCTAATTTATTTTTAGAATAGTGTTATATGATGCTGGTTTAACTACAGAAAATATTCATTAAAGTCAACCCTGTGCTTTGAGAAAGCCTAATAACCACTTACTTTGTTAATTTTATTCAATGGGCATATACTAATAAATACTTCCCTGGCATTTTACTACAAAGTATATTAATGAACTGCTTAGTAAGAAATTATTAATTAATAATTAATGAATTATTTAGTAACAAAGAAAATAAGGATTTTTTTTAACCTTCCTTGGTATTTCAGACAGAATCTTGTGATTATACAGATTATGTGAATTTTTCCCAGGAGGAGTTCCAGAACTTTCACCAGATTCTCAAGGGGGTTGAGAATCCCCACCTACATTCTTTCCCCTACATCCCCCCCAAAGAAGAAACTGAAAGAGCTGAGCCAAGAAGAAATACTTGTGGAGCAGGACACAAAACTGTGATCAAAACTGTACTATATCATGAGTAATGAGTCCACCTATTTCTTCACCATCTCTGCTCAACAACCAAGAATAATTCCACAACTAAATATAAATTCTTTGTTAAAAATGTAGACATGGGTCTGGAGAGATGGCTCAGCGGTTAAGAGCACTGACTGCTCTTGCAGAGGACCCAGGTTCAATTCCCAGCACCCACATGGTAGCTACATACCATCCTTAACTCGAGTTCCAGGGGAATCTGAAGCCCTCTTCTGACCTCCACGGCACTGCACTACACGGGTTCATTCACATACATGCAGGCAATACACTCGTACATATAAAATAAAAATAATAAATTTAAAAAATGTAGACATTGGGTCAGAGAGATGGCTCAGTAGTTAAAGAACTTGCCACAAAATCATGAGGACCAGATTCAGATTCCCAGAACCCAATAACTGCTGGGTGGGTGTACAGCTCATGTGTGTTTCCATGCTGGGTGGGTGTGCCCACCCACCTGTAATTCCAGCCTCAGAAAGCAGAGACAGGGCCCTCCAGATCAAGCTGGCTGGTTAGACTAGCCATAGGGTGAGCTCTGATGGACACTGCTCCATGAATAAAGTGGAAACCAGATGGAGTCAGATTCCTGACCTCAACCTCAGGCTTTCACATGCTTGAATGTGCCCACATGGGTGCCCACACACACGCAAGCACACACATACCACATGCTCGCTACCTACACACACAAAAATGGGAAAAGAAAAAAAAAAGTAGATATTTTTGAAAGAAGATTTTTAGAGGCGTCTCAGATATTTCTGTGGGAAATAGGTTTTGATCAAAATGTGGAGGAAGGACTGCAGGAGTGTGAATGTCCTGAACAGGTAAGACAGTAGCAAAGATGTGTGCAGAGATTTACAGGATAGAATTTGGCTGTGTTCAAACATAAATAGTTTATCCCTTAAACTTGCCCTGCAGAGTCCTTGGTTCAGAATGGAAACAAAGAATAACAAAGTAATGAGCTGGACTTGGGCAGCCCGCACAGCAGGAGGTCCCAATAAGGGCTGCAGGACTGGGAACCTGGCCGTGGATCCCAGCTCTACCCAGTCGTCTGACCTTGTGAAGAGGGCAAGTCCTGTCACTTCCCTTTCTTCATCTGTCCAAGGGAAATAATGCTGGCCTCATTCCAAGGAGAGGATGAGACGATTACATGTTACTAACACACATGAAGGGCTTAGTACCTGGCACAGAGTCACAGCTGATACTCTTAGGGCAGGCAGAACATTTCCTGCTGTGCGTGCGAAGACATAGGAGCTGGTCTGAAGCCTACTCTGTCCGTTTCTCTGGCAGCTGAGTGTACCGTGATGGGCATCCCCAGCGTGACAACAAACCTGTCCGGCTTTGGATGCTTCATGCAGGAGCATGTAGCTGACCCTACTGCATACGGTGAGATTTTCCATCATTAACCCAGCCGGGCCACCTGACCTCGTGCCAGCAGGGCTCCCGAGCTTCACAGGGTCAAGTCTAAAGCTATCCTGATAATGGAACTAGTGTTTATACTTTCTCTTATAAAAATTAGATTCAAATATGCAGTCCATAGGAGAATATTGTTAAAATGAATATATTTCCTCAAAGAATTGTAAAAGCACTCAACTTGGACAAACTTTATCTTTATTTCTTTATTGTTATTGCTATTATTATTAGGTCTTTTTAAGGCAAGGTCTCTCCATAGCCCCAGCTGGGATTAAAGGCATGAGGCCCCATGCCCAGCTAATTTGTTTTTGATTGTGGCAGTAGTTTTTTCTTTCTCTCTCTCTTTCTGAAGTCCTCGAGATATTACAGGAGCAGTGGTCTCAGAACGCACATACTGGTCAGCCTATACAGAGCACATTTATTCTTTTAATATTCCAATGTAGTGCTAGACGGATGGGTATTTTTGTTCCAGTAAGCTCCACATTATTGCCTGTGGGTTGGTGATGATTTTCGGCAATTAGAAGGTCATAGAAGACAGAAAACTTGAATGGGAAAAAGATAGATAAAGAGAGGACAAGCAGGCGAGGCCGGGCCGGGTGATGCCCGCGTTTGGTCTTTGGTGAAGACAAAGATAATAAACTACAGGGAGGAGGATGTTTGGAGCCCGTTCCAAATGGTTTTGACTTCGGTGTTCTTTAGGGATCTACATCGTCGACAGGCGTTTCCGCTCTCCTGATGATTCTTGCAATCAGCTGACTCAGTTTCTCTACGGGTTTTGCAAACAGTCGCGCCGTCAAAGAATCATCCAGAGGAACCGCACTGAGAGGCTCTCGGATCTTCTGGACTGGAGATATTTAGGCAGAGTAAGCGAATTTTTCTTGAACACAGAGGAGCACTTTAAGAGCACTGCGTGATGAAAGTGTTGTTTCTAGTTACAAACTGTAAAATCAACTCAGTATGTTAAAGTCTCAGTGAAGGGTTCTTGTATTCTGTAACTGAACACGAGTTCAGTTAAAAAGTTTGAGAATCAAGAAAGTCGTTACATTTAGTTAGTCCACTCATAAGTTCAACTCCATCAGGACAGGAAGAATCTGACATGTGCTTAGCTTGAGGCATCGCAAGTAGAAACACTACAGGAAGTTGAGAAAACATCTAGAGCAAAGACCTCGCTTGTTTTTATGAAGGGAGATAATGTGATCATATTCCTCATCTATAATATGGGGTGGAAATGGCACCATTTCCCAACATGGCAAGTAGGAAATGCCTCCATTTAATTGTCCAATAGGGTGTAAACACCCAGATGTCCATGTGCCTTAGAACCAAGTGATTTAGTACTAAAGAAAACGATCTTGCTTTCATAAAATATACTTGCTTGCACATTGTTGAACCCTCCTGGTCAAGAGATGCAGCCATCTGCTATATACCTACCTATGCCCAATAATTCAGGCACTCTATACAACCTGAGTACTTAATGTTACTACCTCATTTCAAGTTGAACATAGGAAGACAAGGTTATCAGAAGTTCTGTTCCCTATGTAGACTCTGGCCTGAGTGGATTAGCATCTAGTGTTTCTAGAAATTTAGTGCTCGAAATCAGTGTTTTCGGTCATATTTGTGCTCAAGTCTGAGCTCAGCATGGCCTGTAGAGCACCTCAACTTTTTGTGATATTCCTTTGTGTGTATATTGACAAATAATAAAACTATAGATTGTTATTGCTTTCTTGATTCTCAAACGAAGGATGCCCAGATTCTGCAACTTTAAATAGACAGCCACGTGTCAATGTGATGCACAATATATTAATATATTACATGATAACCCATAGTCTGAGTACAATTTTACATACCTGTTAATATTTATGTAGATTAGAATTTAGATAGCTAGATGATAGATTAAGTGAATGAATGGGTAGGTAGATGGATGGATAGATGAACCATCTTTCAGACTTGGGAAAATAAGACTTTTATAACTTAGTTACTATGATATCTATTTTTAACCTGTGAATCGGCTTTCTGTCAATAGTACCACCAGCATGCCAGGCACCTGACACTGAGCAGAGCTTTTCCAGATAAATTCCATATGGAGCCCATGTCGCCACCAACGGTAAATATTTCATTTATTAGTTGTTTGTTTTGAAAATGAAATTTCTTATTTGTGACAGTTCTAATAATACCTTTGAATCTGGAAGTAGCTAAGCACGCTAGTGTTGTACTTTCATAGCGTTGACTCAACGTGAAGACTGTTCAGAGGCATTCACAAAACAAAATGTCTGCAAGTCCCTGATTTATAGTTAACCTGTGATACAGGATGAGTAAATGACTAATTCACATCATTGGAGAAGCATCTCTACATTACAATTCTCTAGGCCTTAGTGCTTGGAGCAGCTGTTAGGCATCTGTTCTTCTACAAGTTGTTCAACAATAAAGTAGGTGAATTAACAGAAGGCAGATTTGCTATCCAAGGATGTGTTTAAATATAGACCGACCATTCTGCAAGGCTGAAACAGAGCAAATTCAAGTTCAGAGCAGAAACTGGACCAGATGGGTAATCATGATCCATTCAGCCTGGTCCCCAGGAATCTTCTTCTAAAGTCCAATTAAGCATTTCTATCTATGAAACTACCACAGTGCAGAATGCCATCAGATTGATTGGGAAAGATGGAAGACAGGAAACAGCCTGAGGCAGTGTAACCCTAGGACTTTCTCTCTAGTAAGATTCGTGTTTTCTTTAATATATACAGTGATCCAAGAGCTAAATTTCTATAGTCTTACATCTACCAAGTATCAGCCGAAGAGTAAGAAGATAAGATGTACAAGGTGTATCCAACTTTTTGACGTTGCAATATGTCATTTATAAAGTTCACACTTGAAAACTGTGCGGTTGAGCTGCATTCTTTTTTAATATTTTATTTATTATTTTTATTTTATTTTATGTGTATGTGTGTATTGCCTGCATGTAGGTAAGTGCACCCGTGTTGTGCAATGCCCGAGGTCAGAAGAGGCTGTTGGATCCCCTGGAACTGAAGTTATGGACAGTTGTTAGCTGCCATGTGGGAGCTGGGAAT